GTACATTTTCTTCCAGTCTCCTATTGCATTGGATGCTCATAACAATGGTGTGAAACAGGCAGGAAGTAGCCAAGGCTCTCCCACTCCTCATGATGGAGCCCAGCTCCTCTGGGTCCAAGTCAGATTGAGACATATTGCACGGGAGACAGCACATTGCGGCAGCTGAGTGACCAATGGAGACCTGAAACGTTGGACTAAATTTTCTTTTCTTGGATCTTCCTTCCTCCCCAGCAGGTTATTTGTCTAATGAGTCTCCAAGCTCATAAGTGTTTCTAGGCCAGCCAGTCAGCCCATCTACTTGCAGTTGAGGAAGCTGTGTATTTTTCTAATGGACTCTAATGCCAATTCCTGAAGTTTATAGAATAAAAGTGTGATCAGCTTTAATGACCAATTTATGCATGGTAATAGTCGGATGTGGCTAGCTAAGCCCCTTGGGGCTTCTGGAAGGGCTGTAAATTGAAGGCAGTAACTGTACTTCCTCGCTTCATTGACCGGCTCCTCTCACCTCCAGCTTAGAAGCAACATGCTCTGTCATTAGCACCGCGGCATCCATCCCTGGCTGTCCCCTCCCTGTGTGTGCTGACACATTTTATAGCCAAAATAAATGCAACAGCACTGTTGCACAAACATTTATTGCCTCGCCTCTGTAGCTCTCGTTGAGATAACTTTTTTAATATTTCCTCCCTGGGTGAACTGAATATTTCTCTTCCATCTTCTGTAATTGCTCTGGGTTAATCCCTTATAGGCCTGAATTACAGCTTTAAACTTTCTGCTGGGCCAAATTTAAATCATTTGATTTTCCTTAACAGCGAGTGAGCATTCTTGTTACAATAAAATGGTCCTGTGGCTACTTCTGTTGAATTGCCTTGATCAGTTCCGTAATTCCACTAGCAGCTCCCCACCAAAGCAAAGTACAGATCTAGGTTTTAGAACTAGTGGACAATAGAGCCTTGGTTATAACTGGGAATGCTCGACACTGGCATTTTTAGTTACCAGGTTCTTACTGAGCACTTTCTGTGTGCCTACCACTGTCCCAGACTATGCTGTGAAAGCAGCTACGTCAGAACAAGTAGGACATGAGTCCGCCTTTCTCCCCAGCGGCCACTGGGCCTCACTCAGAGGAACCCATCCAGGCACAGAGGCTCCCAGGAGAGAGCCAGAGAGCCCCTTCTGCGGAGGGGACCCAGGGAAGCTTCAGCCATTAGCTCAAAGGGTGGATAGGCTTTTTGAAGGGATTTTTGTTTTTTGGTGGGTTTTTTTTGGTTTTTTTTTTTTTTTTTAATTTTTTACTTAAATTTGGTTCGTTAAAACATAGTGTAGTATTAGTTTCAGAGGCAGAGTTTAGAGACTCATCAGTTGCGTATAACCCCCAGTGCTTATCACATCACGTGCCCTCCTTCGTGCCTATCACCCAGTTACCCCACCCCACCCACCTCCCCTCCAGCAACCCTCAGTTTGTTTCCTAGAGTTAAAAGTCTCTTGTGGTTTGCCTCCCTCTCTGTTTCTGTCTTGGTTTATTTTTCTGAAGGTTTGTTTTGAATGACGCTCCTACAACCTGAGTTCTTTGGATCGCCCCTCACTCTTCATTCTTCAGTTTTCTTTGGAGCCTTTTACATGGAGCTGCTTGCAGACTAGTCACCCCATATCATATCTGCATTTCTTTCAAGAGAGCACCCATCCCCTCAAACTTCCATCCTTTAGGTCGGTGGACGAGGAGGACCACTACTATGTTCACCCTGTCCCTGGAAGCCTAGGAGCACAGGAGGAAAAGGCCACACGACAAGAGAACCCTGTGTCCTTGTTGTAGCCCATCTGTCAAGAAGGTGGCTGTTAACACAGTGTTCAAAAAGTAAATTGTGTGGGAGGAGATGTATTTATTCTGGGGTGTAATAAAAATGCTGCTGGATCTTCGAACAGCCCACCAAGGAGACCACCTTTTCTTCCAGGGCATCAGAACACATGGCTTGACTCTGGGCCACTCGGGGGCCACCCAGCTGCTCTGAGAGGTGTCAGAGATGGGTCCTGGCCCAATAAGTCATCACAGAGGCTGAGATGTGGAAGGAGCCCATCTTGTTCCACCTCTGTCTGCATAAACTCCTTCTCCGTCCCCACCTTCTCCCCCTTCCAGAGCATGACAGCTTCCCAAGGCAGCTGATTCCATTTTTTGCCAACTGTGTGAAAGAGTTCTTCCTTAGGCCATATCATAACTTCTGCCTGCCACTAGAGCCCTGAGAAAACCCTGATAAACTCAGTCAAGCACTCGTGGAACATGGTATTGTCAACACTTCTAAGAGGGGCTCCTGATAAACTCCCCCCACATCCATGAAATATAAACCAAGTTCCCAGGTAAATGAATCATTTGAGCTGTTACATAAAACTATTTTTTTAAAGATTTTATTTATTTATTTATTTATTTATTTGACAGAGAGAGATCACAAGTAGGCAGAGAAGCAGACAGAGAGAGAGAGAGGGAAGCAGGCCCCCTGCTGAGCAGAGAGCCCAAGGCCGGACTCAATCCCAGGACCCTGGGATCATGACCTCAGACGAAGGCAGAGGTTTATCCCACTGAGCCACCCAGGCACCCAAGCTGTTACATAAAATTATTTTTATTAACCTAGACATCCTCCCCAAACATAACAATTCTGTTTTTCCTTTTACAATAATTGGTATTTTAGCCTTTCTTCTAAAAAGCAATGATAGTGGGCCCATTTGTCTGTTGAGGTTAGCATCTGAAAGTAAAACCGTGTAATACCGAGAGTATCGGAAACTGCTTCTCGGCCCCCTCTCTGGAGTAGGGTGCATCTGGCTCCCGCTCACCCCACAGCTACTCCAGGTCATCAAGAAGGGAGGCCAGGATGAGCCTCTGTGCTCCACTCCTCATGAAACCGCGTCCAGCTAGACTCACCCCTCAAGATGGTTTATGACTATGTTATGCAGATCGTGCTCCGCGGAATCCCAGACCCACCCTTCCCGCTTGCATCTGAAGTCATGTGTGTTCTTTATATGGACAGGAGGAGGGGAGGCTGAAGACATGGGAGCAGAGCTCATCACTGACTTCTGTTGGTACTGGTGCAGAACACTCATTCCCCACCATCACCACCCCCTTTTCTCTTTTATCAAATTAAGGAATTCACTTGCAGTGAAAATAATCTATTCAATCATCCTCATGCCCTTAAATCTCCACTCTGTTCTTCAGCTTTCTTTGTCCAACATTTGGCGGCTCTGACCTCTTCCTTCACTTTCCCTTGGCATCCCCATGATGCCCTGAGTTACTAGAGCCCCCAGGCCATTGGGACACCTCTGTACAGGTGCGCGCCAGAAGATGTCACCAGCAGCATGGGAGGATGGGAACGTTGAGGTGGTCTCTCGGGGTGTCACTGGTGAGAGAGCACCACTGTTCCTTACTAGTTTCAAAATCTTCCCCTTTCATGGGCCATCATTTTCAAATAGAGTATTAACCGTAAAAAAGGATGAGATCTCACCATTCACAACAACGGTGATGGACGTAGAGGGTTAGATGAGAAGGACAGATACCAAATGACTTCACTTGTATGGGAAACCTCAAGACCAAAACAAATGAATAAACAAAAAGCATAATCAGACCTATAAATACAGAGAACAAACAGATGGTTGCTGGTCAGGGGAGGGGATAAGGCAGGATGGGGGAAGGAGAGCAGGAGATACAGGCTTCCAGTTGATGGAGTGAATAAGTTATGGGAATAAAAGGTACAGCGTGGGGAATATAGAGTTGTGTGGTGACAGATGACAGCTACGCTTGTGATCTAGAGCTAGATCTAGCATAAGATCTAGAGAAGTTGAATCATTATGTTGTACACCTGCAACAGTGTACCAGGATGTGTCAACTACATGCAAATAAAGAAATAATAGATGGGGCGCCCAGGTAGCTCAGTGGGTTAAGTGTCTGACTCTTGGTCTTAGGTCAGGATCTCAAGTCCTGGGATCAAGCCCCACATCAGAATTCAAGCTCACTGGGGAGTCTGAGGATCCTCTCTCCCCCTCTGCCCCTCCCTCTCTCCCACTTGGATGCATTCTCTTCCAAGTAAACCTCTTTTTAAAATAGAATAGAATATTAAAACAAGATGGGAAGACCACATGAGGGTCCTGATTCTCACCCCTGGCCACTCTGGTGGCTGCTGTGGCCATTAAGAGGTTCCCTCGTGTACTGAAAGAGCAAAGACCCCGAATTACCCATAGATAGCGACCACCTGCTCTGAAATCCTTCCCGCACCAGTTGTACCAGGTTCTAAGAAAGTATCACTTAGGAAATGCTTTTGGAGAAAACTCGTGAAGACCCTTTGTTCCCAAGGAAGGACCAGTCATCTGCGGCAGCCCCAGGTCATGGCTACAGCATCCACCTGGGACAGTGGGAACATCTGGGCACTAGCAGAAACACTCCATGTAAGAGGACACTTAGGAAAGAGTAGGAAAGTCAAGAGGCAAGAGGTGAAGGAAGCCAGACCACGGTCCTCAGCCCTGCCTGGACCAGACCGGCAGCCATATTGCTTCCAGTGCCCTTAATGGAACCCATGTTCTAGCCCAACATAGGCAAGACACGTTTCTGCTTTATGCTGAAGGCTCTCCAAACGGGAGAACCGGTTCTAAAGGATGGGATTGTGTTTGGGGAGGAGCTGCTGTGCACACATCCAGGTGGCTCTCCCTCCAGCCAGCAGCCAAGGAGCCTGGTGGATGGTCTCAGCCGGCTCAGGACAGCCCAAGGAACCAAGGCTGTGCCTGCTAGCCATTTCAAAGGCCAAAAAAGAATGAGTGTGGATCGCGAACTTGTTCTCACAGTGAAGGAAGTGGCATTTGGAGGGTGTGGGGAATTAGCAAAGGCCAACCCCGTGACGTCGCACTTGGCCCCACGATGCAGTTCCCCACAAGGAACAGCCCTGTGATGGCAGACGTTGGCATTGAAATGTTAGCAATGCTCTTTCTGATCTTTTGCAGCTAATGGAGTCTTTGTCTTTCTTTGCCTTCAGGTCCTCATTGGCCAAATGTATTCGACTGACAAGCTTATCATTGAGAATCAAGAGAAGCCTCGGACCTAGGGGGCCGGGACCAGCCACCACTGGCAGCCGTGGACCAGCTTCAGCATCCATGCTGCGCTTGGGGCGGGGGCTCCCCCAGACCACAGGTGGCCTCTTCCATCAGCTTAGAATAGCCTCTTGCTCGGCCTGCCCAATAGGAGCTGATCAACTGAGGCCGGTTTCCATTCTTCTGCAGCCCTAGTGAGAAAGGGTGGCAGGGTCTCCTTGATTCAAGCGAGGAGCTGGAGCTCACTCCGAATAGTGCTGTGTATTCTTGTGTCTGCTCTCCGCCCCACTCCTCTTTTGTATCATCACCGCCCATATAGAGCCCCTCCACCCTCTGCATCTTCGTTGACAATAAACAGAATTGTCTCCTGAAGCCTTCTTACGCCAGATGCGCTCCTGAGGATGAATGCGCCTTCGTTTCCTGCTGACGGTGGGGCCTGCAGAGGGCCGTGGGGACCCAGAGGGAGGCTCCCTTTGTGGGGGCAAGTCTAGGCACCCAAGATTTGGAGGGCAACAGGGAGTAAGGCAACACCAAAGAGATAGAGGGTGCATCCCGCAATTTATGCCTGGGCCTGGTGCAGCCACAGAGGGGCCCGCCTGCAGCTCCCCACCTGGAGACAGGATGCTAGCGGCCCTGCTGAGTGTGGTCAGAGCATGGGCACCAGCAGCCCCGCCTGGGAGCTGGTTGGAAATGCAGAATCTTGGGCTTCACCCCAAATGCTTTGAATTTGAGTCTAACACATCCAGGTGCCCCCAGCCCACGCTGAGGTTGGGGAAGGGCCACTCGGCTCTGCTTCCCAAAGCTGGCTTCCCCGAGCTCCCTTCACAGAGCCAAAAGCACCTGCAGAATTGGAGAGTTTTATAAGAGGAATTTCTCGGCACTTCCCTGTCCTCAGATTCTGACTCAGTAAGTGAGAGGGAAGGCATGATCACTAGGCCCCCTAGCGTTTTTACTGTCTAGTCAGTTCAGGAAGCTCTGCTCCTTGAAGATGTTGCAGGTAATAGAGACATTTGTGTGCGTTTAGCCTTGTAAACACATCAGCTAAAAGCCTAAAAAGAGGGTATTAAATAACTTACTTGATTTCTGGGGATTTTAGGGGGGACCCAGATACTACCAGAGTACCTTGTTTCCCTTTGTAAACGGCACTATGTGAATTCATTACTTAGGTGTTAAGGTTTGGAACAGGCTCCTGTGAACATTTCCAGATCCTAAAATAACTGTGACGGTGTCACCGAGCCTGCCCCTGAGCCAGGGCCCCTGGCATTCTAATTCTTACAGTCCTGTGAGTCAAGTGAGAACAGACTGGGTCCTCATCCCCTCCCGTGCGAAGAGATCACGTCTGCCCTCCTCACCCACAGAGCGTGGATTTTGTTGTGACTGTACGTTCAGAAGAGATTACAAGTGTACTCCTGGTTGGCAGCTCAACTTGGGACTTCAGAAAGGTTTTGCCCAGGGATAGTCTTGTACACCCGCACCTTGGTAGGTCTTGGACCTGAACCCCCCCACCACCGCCCCACCCCACACCCCGGTAAACAATGTTAGCACCACAGCGTGGAGCTGGCAGTGAATGTAGGTGACGTGGGAAACGTGCTGTCTCCCTTCAGCTGACTGTCATGGGACAGTCACCCACCCTGGAATGTGCAGCTCTGGGTCACTTTTTCCACTCTGCGTCAGTAGGATATGGTCCAAGGACTAGCTCCTGGATGTCACCTCTGATTTACACCTAATGAATTAAAGCAGCTGCTGCTGCTACTTGGAAACCCAAGTCCAGGGTTGAACCTCTCCCCTAGAAGAGTCAGGTTACCAGAGGGTATCTGCTCCAGAGGAGACCCAGATTTGAGTCCCAGAGGGAGTGGCCCAAGCTAACTTAGCTCATTCTGTGGGACAGAACAGCGGGTCGCTTTTATGTTAATTAAAGCCCACGAATGGGTTTAAACAGGCCCAAAGCCTTAAACAGCTAGTTTTTGTCACTCGGATAAGAATAACTATGCATTAGGAATATATAGAAAGACATGAAAGAATCCTGTCCCATAAAATCCATGGTCTTGAGCCTGTCCTGCAGGCACAGGTGAGACAGACAGAGCCTTGCACTGGACACTCCTCAACTCAGAGGACCCAGGTGGACTATGGCACTTTGAACGAAGTGACGTGCCCGTGGGAGTGGTCTCTGCTTCTACTGTTAAGCGCTCCCCATGCTTGACTGGAGCCCCACATCGCACTCCCCCTCACAGACCTCTAGTGTGCTTGGCTGTTCTGAAGGAGGGACTCAGGCTGGGGTCTGGAGATGACTTTCCGGTGTCAGCATTTAGCAAGTGAGAAATGCCAGGACGAGTTAACCTCTGAGATGCAGCCACTGGCCCAGCACAGCTATTCTCCAGACCTTCAGAGATGACACTCGGTTGGTCTGGCTCCCGTGCTTTCATAGCTGGGAAAGCTTCCTTGAGCACCGGCATGGCTATGTTGTTCTGATGGCTGTAGTTCTCTGGACTCTGGAACTGAAAGAAGATCGTGGGTCGGTCATAGCTGGCTTCCCGTCTCCTCCGCCCTGCCACCAACAGCAGCCCCTCTCAACCCCCTTCGTCCAGAGCTTCATCCAACATCTCCAGCGCCTGAATACAACCAACACTGCCCCCACAAGGGGACAGGCTAGGGGGACATCTGCAGAGATGACAAAATGGCAGAGCTGCCTGGCATTGGAATCCACCTCATCCAACCCCCACAACTGCAGGTGTGAAAACCAAGACCCTGAGCATCCCCAGGTCATCTGGGGACCCTTCCCTGCCGCCCCTTCCGCTGATCTTTCCGTTCATTCAGCACTGACTGTGAGCCAGTGGGTGCCTGGTTCCTTGGGGGGGGGGGGGGGGGCGGCACCAGTGAACAAGGCAGCCCCTGCCTTCACAGAGCTTGCAGTCCAGGGGACGTGGATGAGAAAGGACACATCTGAGGACAGTTAGAAAGGGTGAAATAAAAAGGTCCTCTAGAAGCTGATGGGAGTGTCTGGAAGGCCCTCCCTGAGGCAAGGGGATTTTTTTTTTTTTAAGATTTTTAAATTTTTTTTATTTATTTGACAGATCACAAGCAGGCCGAGAGAGAGGAAGCAGGCTCCCTGCTGAGCAGAGAGCCTGAGGCGGGGCTCGATCCCAGGACCCTGAGATCATGACCTGAGCCAAAGGCAGCGGCTCAACCCACTGAGCCACCCAGGCGCCCGAGGCAAGGGGATTTAAATTGAAGATGAAATGAGGAGTTGGCTGCACAAAGGGTAGGGAGAGGAGCTCTCCAGGCAGGAGGAACAGTATATGCAAAGGCCTGAAGGGGGGGGGGGGGGGGGGAAGGGAGGAGGAGGAGAGCACTGTGCAAGGAACTAAGGCAGCCCAGGGTGGCTGGCAAGCAAGGATGAGTCAGAAAGCAGGGAGCACAGTGTGGGAGGCCCAGGGAGCCTTGGCCTGAGGCTGTAAGAAGCTGTTGAAGTTTTCCAGCGGGATGAAGTTTATGGGGGAATAGATTGGGAGAGAAGCATGGAGACCAACTTTTATAGGGGTAGATTGGACACTAATCCGGGTAAGAGATGGTAGTGACTTCACCTAGGACGGTGACGGTTGCAAAGTAGAGTCAACATCGCCCTGAGAAGAACTCGCTTTGGTTTGGAGGAGGAGAACTCCTCCCATCTGAGTCTCACTAAGGTCACTCTACTGCGGCCAACCCTCAGGCCAAGGATGCAGAACAAATGATTGTCTAAGGCACCGAGTTTATGGGTAGTTACAGAGCAATGACAAGCTAATACAGAGAGCTAGAGTGATAATGGGTCTCTTTTTCAGGGCCACTTAGCAAACCAAAGAGTAGGTAGGCAAACTTGATGAAACTGTGGGGTTCCTTTGTACAGCCCTTTCCACAAGCACCTGCAGAGTACAGGTGTCACGTGTCTTACAGACAAAAGGGCTTACCAGCTACTGGCCCCCATTAATGTGTGCATTGAGCACAAAACAGGACCAAAAAGAGAAAGAAAATAGGGTCAACAGGACTTGGTTATTGATTAAATGTAAAGTGTAGAGAGGGTGTCAGGGGAGTCCAGGAGGGGTCCCAGGTTTGGGGCCTGGGTGACTGAGTAGAGAAGTTGGGCTACCTGCTAAGACAAGACAGCAGTGGGCACGGTCTGGATCTTTGTCCTCCTGCCAGGTTCAAATAACCTCAAGTTCAAACAGAAAGACTAGTGTCTACCAATGTATCTCTTACTTCCAAAGGTTGAAAATAATATTTCTGGTTTTTTCAAACAAAGAAAAAAAATCTACTGGAAGAAAACAATTTAAAAGACTGCTAAAAAGAGATTTTACCCATAGCTCTCTGTAAAATAAATATATTCCTTCTACAGGTAAAGCCTATAGATACATATTCTCTCTGGGTACAGGAGAAGTAGGGGGAAATTTTTCCATATTTTGCAAAAGGTGATACAAGATTTTTAGAAAGGCGGAGGAAGGTTGGTCTACATATTCTAAGACTATGGTTCTAAGAACGCAACTAAAATCCACAGTAAAATATCAAATTGGTGCATGGAAAATGCACCAATATGTTTTATTACAGAATGAGCTGCTTAGGACTGCTCACTAGCTTTTTAGACTGAAGGATATCACAGGTACCGAGGCCAGGCTACAAATATAGCAACAGCGGAAGAAATGATAAGCACTCAAAACACAGAAGGAGAAAGCATTTCCTATGCCAAGAATGATGTTCTCTGAGTTGGGAACTCTTCTTCTGGACCTACCCACAGTCACGAACAAGAAGTTCTCCTTGGTAAATACGGCCAGAACCCAGATGACCAATTCTTTATCTTTTTTTCTTTTTTTTTTTAAGAAAGAGAGACAGTGGGAGGAGGGGCAGAGGGAGAAGGAAAGAGAGAATCCCAAGCAGACCCCATGCTGAGCACAGAGCTGGACTCTGACCTCAATCTCAGGACCCTGAGATAGTGACCTGAGCCAAAATCAAGAGTCTGTCATTCAACTGACTGTGCCACCCAGGAGCCCCTAGATGACCAATTCTTGACTAAACACAATCGTATGAACCAAAGAACATTTTAAGAGTTCAACCCATTAAACTCTGCTGGTAGCTTTAGGACAGCAGCCCAGTGTGTGATTCAGAAGCCACAAGAAGTGGCCACATTTTCTAGATCATTGGAATAGACTCGTCTGGTAAGGTCACACCAATGAGGGTGGGGAAGCCCATGCAGATGTTCACTGTTACGAACAAAAAAACTGTCCACGGGAAGTTGTGCTTCTCACATCCCAAGTTGGCAGACGCCTCATCGCTAATCTATTATTGGCCTATTGTTACAGAACGATCTAGACGATAGCTGGATCTTGGTAGGGAAAGCAATGATTTGT